TGTAGTCTAATTTCTAACTTTTTAATCTCCTGTAACTGAGTTTGTTTCTGCCATCTTTCTTTATTTCTTTTTGCCATATAGGCTATTGTTATTCCCCTCAAATACACTTTTGCTGTATCCCATAATGTCTGCAGTGATGTTTGTTGAATTGTGTTTTCCTTAAAGAATAATTCCATTTCTTTTTTAATTTTTGTCACATATTCTTTTTCTTTTACAATTTGGGAATTCAACGTCCATCTTCTCCTTATTTTTTTCCTTCTTTTCCAAATTATCTTTAGGGGGTTATGGTCTGCCCATACATTTGTCATAATTTCTATTGTTTCTAGCTCATTTCCTATTTCTACATTCATCCATATCATATCTAATCGGGACCATGACTTATGCGGATTCGAATAGAAAGTATATTCCTTTTTTTTCTGGGTTTAGTCTCCTCCACTGATCTAACAAATTTAATTCCTGTATCATATCAAAGAAGGATGTTGGCAGAGTTTTCCTTTCCTTTTTCTTTTTTGTGTTGCTAATATAGTCTTTTTTATGTCTACCACCACATTGTAATCCCCAACTATACATATATTTCTCTGTCCAATTTCTGATTTTTTTTCATGTAATTTGCTGTAAAATTCACTTTGGTTTTCATTTGGGGCATAGATTGTAACTAATAACATTTGTTTCTGACATATCTCTAATTCAATCATCAAACTCTTCCATTCGTATCAGCATATTTTTCTACTGCCTTAATTTCTTCTTTGATATATATTCCTATTCCTCTCTGTTTCTTTCTGCCAGGGCTGTGTATAATCTTCCTAATTTTGGGTATTCTCAACATTTCCAATATTGTTCTTTAATGTGTATTTCTTGTAGGCACATAAGGGCCTGGCAGGGAATTAAACACATCACTAATTACAGGGGCAGCAACCCCATATCAATCAATAAAAGATGCATCACTGGCAGAAGAATTGAACTGCTTCTTTGCCCGATTCGAACTGAATAGGTCTTTGAACACACTGCCTCTACAAACCACCGGTACTCAACTGTTCACAGTACAAGAGTATGATGTGAAGCTTAGAGCAGTGAATGTGAAAAAGGCTGGTGGCCCTGATGGGATACCTGGGAAGGTACTTAAAGCATGTGCTGACCAGCTTGCAGGTGTGTTTACAAATATTTTTAACCTTTCTCTTACACAAGCCATTGTTCCGTCTTGTCTCAAAACTTCCATTATTATTCCAGTTCCCCAAAAGCCCTCTCCTGATACTTTAAATGACTATAGACCAGTAGCTCTCATACCCATAATTATGAAGTGTTTTGAAAGACTGGTCTTAAAATATATACAGGATTGCCTCCCATCAAACCTTGACCCATACCAGTTTGCCTATTGGAATAACAGATCCACAGAAGATGCTATTGCCATGGCTCTCCATGTTGCACTGAAACATCTGGAGCATAGTAGGAGCTATGTAAGGATGCTTTTCGTTGATTACAGCTCAGCTTTTAATACCATCATTCCAGATATACTGATTAAGAAGTTACTAGAAATGGGCCTCTCCTCTCACATCTGCTGTTGGATAAAGGACTTTCTTACTAACAGACCCCAAACTGTTAGGATTGGCAGCTATTTTTCCTCCACTCTTGCTCTCAGCACTGGCTCTCCACAGGGTTGTGTGCTGAGCCCCCTTTTGTATTTACTCTACACCTACGACTGCACTCCCTCTTGTCCCACTAACACTAATTTCTAGGAACTCATATTTCTGACAACCTTACTTGGTCAGTCCACACTATGGCCACTGCAAAGAAGGCCCAACGTTGTGGTATGCTGGATGCTCTGTATTGGATAAGAAGATGCTCCAGAGAGTTATAAACACAGCACAAAAAAATCATCAGTTGCTCTTTCTTCTTTGGAAGAGATTGCAAAGACCAAACTCCTCTCTAGAGCACTAAAAATCTCCACAGACCGTTCTCATCCTGGACATTCATATTTTGAACTGTTACCATCAGGGAGGCGTTATAGGTGTCTTAAAATGAGGACTAATAGACTGAGAAACAATGTCAGCCTTCAAGATCTTCTACTTCTGCTTTGCATCTTTTGGCTGCCATAAGTAACGGGGGGAGGAGGGGGGACAAGTATGGGAAGCGAGCAGGAGGTGGTAAAACTTAGCATTGTATAAACTGAGGAGGGGGGAGAGTGCATTCTGCTTAGGTTTCTATTTCTTGCTTAGCTTTCTTTCCTCTGCGCAGCTGCAAACCTTTATCAAAGTATGCCAAGGTCAACGGACAGAAACTTCATCACCACCTGAAGATGTCCACATGATGATATTCACAACTTTTAATTGGAAGAACCATTTGAACTATTGGGGGTGGGAACAATTCCATCGCTTTGTATATGTGATTTACGCGCCTAATTCCTCAGATTCAGAATTCTACTGTAGCTACCACTTCATTTCCAGTAAAAGATATCTTTTCTCTAACTAAAAGAGTCTAAGTATTTCTTTCTTGGATGTTGAATGGAGCACAGCCTGACAAACAGTTTCTTTTCCAAGGCAATAATTGTCTTGAATCAAACAATGCATATGTGATTTAGCCCTATGCATATAAGTGGCATTTTTAAACTATCTAACTTATTATATGTTTTAGATAGGTTTTAGACTAGGTTTTTAATTATTATTTTAATTATTTTAATTTTTAAATACTCTAGTGTGATTGTGATGCGGTGTTTGGGACACTGTGCTGGATTAGCTTTCAAATTTCATTGTATTTGTAGAATGCAATGACAATAAAGGTATTCTATTCTATTTCTACTTTTTGTTTTACCAGTCTTGTTAGTATTTGTTTTCTTTTGGTGGGTGAATTAAATCCATTAATATTTAACAATATTAACCTAATTTCTACTTCCATCGTCCTGCTTACAACTTGGTATCTGTCTTCTATTAATTTTTATGCCCCTTTGTGGGTGTGTTCTTAATCTTCCTTCTTTCTCCCCTTGTTTGGTTTCTTCTTTACTTCCTCCTCCTTGTTCTGTTTCTCCTAATTCCTGTTGCTGATTTTCTTGGCTTCCAGCCTCCAGTTCTTCCTTGCTACTACTTTCTTGTTCCACTCCCACAATTTGGTCAAACAAATCCTGTGCCTTATCCAGATTGTCTATCCTAATCCTCTTCTCCTGCCACTGTACCAACATCTCTTCTGGAATTAGCCACCGAAACATTATATTTCTCTTAATCAGTTGTGTTGCAAGGAATTTACAGTTTCTTCTCTGTTCTCTTACTTTATTTGGGATCTGTTTTAAGGTTTGTATCTCTTTGTCTTTATATATCAGAAGTTCATCTCTCA